GTTATGGAAATCCCACCTCCTAACCTCAAAAAACAACTTAGCCTCAATAGAGCGTATGACAGAATTTTCACGACCGCTGACTATGTCATCGGCCCGTCTGGAAAACCAGGCGACTGCATGGAATTAGGAGTGGTATATCTCATAACCTGCCCAAAATGCGGTGCCAATATTTAGGAGAGACTGACAAACCCTTGTGCACAAGAATTAAAGTGCATCTTGACGGCCTTAGAAACGAAAATGTCCACACCCTTGGGTGTACATCGAAGGTTATAATCAGTACTTTTAGGTCACTGTTACGATCTTGTCGCCCGAATCCGAATTGATAGCCCGCAAAACGTTGGAGGCCTTTTAGATAGCGTCTACAACACCAAAAATGAACCGCAAAGATGAAAGCATTGCCATAAACAGTGAACTGTTCTCTTATCAAACACTATGTGGATTCTGATACGAGACCTTTTATGACCATATAAAAGACATTCGACACTGACTATCCTCACTCATAGCGCAGCTGCAGCGCAGTGCTGGTTGTTCGGTCTCTACATCTCGATCTGGCAAGGCTGAGGTTAGGCTTTCGACATCTATTCTGTTACTCCATCACACAGTCAAACTAAATCCATTGCCAAAGACGTTGAGCAGCCTTCTCAAATCTCGATCTTTCAGAAAGCCTTGAAGAAGGCGGAAGGACCGCTGAAACGTTGGCTTATCGTTTAATAGAGTCTTGTTACTATCATCATCGACCTACCTCAAAAGTAGTCATCAGTGTAAAGACATAGCGATGCGCGCCAGTGCCTCAAATTATGTTGCGCCCCAGGTGTCGCTTCATCAGTGTGAAGATAGGCAGATATGATAAGATATGCCACTTGTTTATGTAAACAAGTAGCTATATATAGTTGTGACAGTTGTGCACTTCTCATTCTTCTGGCTTGCTCTCTCTCCTAAGACAAAAGGCTTCTCTGCATCCGCTCTGGTACATAACAGTGGCGATCAGGGACGAAGCTCACTATGCCGAAAACAGCCGAACGCTCAACAAGGACGGCTGAATGCTCCATATCAAGGATGGCAGAACACTCGCTGGATGGCAGCCTCATCACTGCTCTAATCGAGCAGATGAGGATTTAACAAGAGAAGATGGAGGCTCGATACGAAGAACAAACGAGGATGCTGCAAGAACAAATGAAGATCCAGCAAGAAGCGATGCGTGCGCAGCATGAAGAAACTATGTTGCAGTTCAAGACCGTCCAGAACAACCAGGATCCGGATAGAAGAAAAGAAACCTGCGACCAGCTAGCCACAGACGTGGCGAACTTCGTGCCCACGAAAAATCAGATACGACATTTTCTTACTGGTTTAGCAGGTATGGCCCCATGATCAGGCAGGCCGAAATGCCCGATGACAGAAAGAGGACCTCATTTTGACGAAGATGAGCGAAGAAGCATACCGCAGATACGCAGACGATATCCTCCCGTCGAAACCACATGAAGTGGACTTCGAGACGACAGTTGCCAGGTTGGCGACCCTGCTCGCGTCCAAAAAGACACTCGTACGAAGAAGGTACGAGTGCCCTAAAATAGATTGTCCGCCGCTCACGGCAGGACACACTTCTTTTCGCGAATACGCGAATCGGATCAAGCGCATGGATGAGGAGGCGCAGATGAAAGAGTTGGACTACACTGGTCTGAAGACATTACAGTATGTCGCAGGACTCCAAGATCCTTCTCTGAGGGATATTCGCTTGAAGATGCTCCAGCGGCTAGACTCGTACAAGGATGGACCGTTGACTATTGAAGAACTAGTTAATGAGTGCGAAAATCTCACAGCGTTGAACAACGACAACGCAGACATGGGAAGACAGTACGCAGTACAAGTAGTACGAATAATGCGCGCTACTGCCTTGGATTATGATGAGCCCCAGGGCCGATAGCAATCTACCCTACTTGGCGGCATCAAAGATGCCGCTAAGTTGGCACACATCACGGGAAGTTGCCAACTCCGGCAGCATCTCGCGGATTGCTTTTAGATTTTGGTAAACTCATATATTCTTGGTCCGTAATCCCTATTCACATGAAGTTTTGATGACTCAGACAACCGCAAAACAGCGACACCGATCTCGTTCGAACCCGCATGCGTCACCTTCCAACACCTCCGCACCAACCACTCAACCACGCGGCCAATTTTTTTTCGGTTTGCGGCAGCCATTACAGAAACGTACAGGTCAGCGGCGTTTGTGAGAGGGCATGATCAATACTTTGCGCAAGAGACGTTGACCTGGAAGAACAGCCGAGTGATATGAAAACGAGAGAGCCAAAGGCGTTGCAAATAAGATTTAGAGGACTTGCAAGAAGAAGATGACGTTCTTTTTTGTTCTATAAGATTACTAGACATCTTTTTTATATCATTAGCATCAATTTTAACGAGGAAAACCCGTATAACGAAAAAATGATGGTTTTTTTTATGGAAAGCGAATTTTTTTGGTTCTTCTGCTTGAAGTGGAATGTGGATGTTGATATTGCCGCACTACACAAACTTGCAGACGCCGCCAGCAAGGTGCCACCACCTCGACATAGTAGGGGCACATCGGGATGGTGGCATCTTGATCTCTCAAAAAAGCACGCTATTTTGTGTACTCTCCGATCTGACGGCATCTCTCAGCGCTGAAATTTCGACGAGATGCCGCTAGGCCAGCTCGCGAAGCTGCCGCCAGCACCTCCTGCCTCCCTCTACAGTTCGGTTTAGGGAGATTTTTAGAATTTTCAGTTGCCAGGTAAGGTTCCCTAAGTCACTATGACCTCCTCAACCAGAATTACGTAGTGAAAAGGGTTGGGAGGGCGCAAATTAGAGCTCGGTGTTCACGCCGATCTCATGTAAAGATGCCGGCTACATGGCGGCGAAACATGCCGCCAGGTCAGGGGGATTACTACCGGCCCAAGTGTCACTTGTGTCCGACCCTTGTATTCCAGTGAGCACTATCCACTGAATCCAGAGCTCAATCCCGTATTTGCATTATTTGGTGAAGGCGGTAACCGTGACACTAATGCTGTTAGATGCAGTCCCATGCGTCCCGACATGTCAAGAGCAACTGCTAGACCGTGTGCATACCGATCCACCTCTCAAAACGCATCACGAGGCAATCGATGGATCGGCGGGCGAACCGGGACTTAGCTCAGAAGTCACGGAAGCAAGCCAAACATTCGGAAATAATGCAGAGGAGATATCGTATTTCATGCCTATATAACAACAAGTGTACGCTTTAGCGGTTATCACATGATTACATGCTCCAACGTCTTTATAGAAAATGCCAAGTTCAAAGGGATTGCTGGACAAGCCATTTGTCTGCTGAATCAGGCAAATGGCTTGTCCATAGTGCAGAGACAATAATATGGCACTGAATGTAGACTTCACGTGAACGGTCTTATTTCCAAAAAATTACAACGCCACGCCATACCCTTTTGCAGAGTAATCGTCTTCTTAGCTTTGATAGAGACCGCTATACTTAACAACAGTGGCGTGTTTGTAGTGCTCACTTTGTTTGCGCCTTCACTCGAGAATTACCGTAATTTTTCTTCACCAAATTCATTACATAATCCCTCTAATCTTTTGTTCCTAATAGCGGTTTCAAAGTGTCTAAATACTTCAGTTTCCATTTCGCTGTATGCTACTGTGTTGACAATTTTATTTGCGGTTCATATATTCAAACCATTTTTTCGATAGTTTCCTGGCGTTTTGAAAAAGATAAAATAATTGTTAGTTCGATGTGATACAGCGTCGAAAACTGTGTACGCAAACAAACCAAATTCAGCTTCAACGTTACATTGAGGCCGAATTCTTTGGGCGGTTCCTAACCATACAAACGCCCCATGCAAAGCTTTTTTGCTGCTCAAATTGCCACCACTGTACTCAAACTTCCATTACGTGTTCTATGCTGAACCTACCGCAGTTCAGAATGTAATGATTGCTTACATCATTCAAAATACTACTAGACCTAATCAACACTAAAAGCCTGTTCTGGTAACAATTCACACTTCCATACTGCAAGATCTTCTTGTGCTGCGAGCGCTTGAAAGTTGGTTCCGACCTCATCCAGCTCAATACAGTTTTGAGCCTTGAAAATTGGATTCTGTTGTCCGAAGTTAAACGATGTGGTAAGCATCTACATTGTGCATGATTCTGCATATGATATAGTTGACTGCACGGAATCGCTCAGACCGAAAGCCCTCGAGCGTGTCTCTTGCGGGATCACATTGGCATTTGCTCGCATGAGTCATCATTGCATCATCTTGACGTAACATTAAGGTTTGTCCAGGGCAACATCTGGAGAGAGGGATCACTTTGTCTCAAAACATTTTATGAGATAGGTAGAGGCTTGAAATAGTAAAAGAGCTTTTTTGGAGTCGACCGGGACACTTGAAGGCAGTTTGAGCGATGAAAGAAAAATAATTTTTTTGAACTGCAGTAGATCCAGTGCTTAGCAGATACCATAGACCTTGACAAGCAAAAATGAGATTGACTCCAAATATGATTTTTGTGTTGCGGTTCCTTTTCCATTTTTCAGCTAAGCTCTCTCACGTGGCGCTAACGGTTTTTTGCCTTCAAAAGTACAGAAATTTCAATATAGTGTTTGTTGTTGTTTGCAGAAACGTTTGGTAGAACGAAGGCATATTCGGAATCAGCTTGATGCTTTTTGGATTGGTGATGAATTTATGTGGAAAGCACAGTTCAACTTTGGGTTTTTCCCTTATCAGTTTGTAGTCAAGAAACTTCTGTACATCTTCAGCTAACGTGGATTAGGGTAATCACAATGAATGGCACTGTACCCGAGGTAGTTCAGAAGAAAATTTGCAGTTTCAGGCAGTTAGTACATCGTTTAATTATACGCTTGTTGTTGGTGAGCGTACTATCATGAACGGTTGTGCGCTTTGCGCTCTCGCGCTGAAATTGATTTTTAACGCCGATGAGACGGATCGGATGTGAAGTGTTGTAGCAGAAAGTTTTATTCATGGAGATCACCATTGTTTACCATACATTCTGAAATATAATTTAGACCCGTCTTCGCCTTTGCAGCTTTTGTTGATATTATCGCGAAGTGTGGAAATCCTCCTTTGCCTTTCTCTATGTACGAATACAGCTATAACGATAGATACAATAAGCGAATAGTAGGTGAAAAGCTGTAAAATACCTGCATCAGTGGAATTTTAGCAGCAGTGCTGTCACTGATGTAATAGTATTCAATTCTGTTGAAACGGAAGAATGTATTAGCGATGCTGACTAAAGGGGGTCTTGTGAACTACCGGACTCAAAGAACACAACCATTTTTGATTTCAATCGATAGTTCGAGTATCCTTGAAAAGCGACTGGGTAGCTTTTTTGAAGTTTGTTCGCTTCCTTGCCCAGTTCCGGCAGCTTTTCAAAACCGTTGTTAGCACTCACAAAAGTCAGCGAACTGGCTTTGTTTCAATATTTTGTAAAAAGAGTTGTGATACAGAGTGAGACAACCAGGTGTGTATTCGTTCCACTTTTATAAATGTTACTGACTTTTAGATTCAAAACCCAACTTACATATCCACAGCTTTCGAGGGTGCGGTAAAGGATCACATCCATGGAATCAATCCGCGTCCTTCTTGCCATATTCGTGACGAGATGTACGGCAAAGAATAATAGCTGAGTGCAGCATGCATTCACCACAATTCTAGTACTAGCTACATTTTCTTGCACTTGATAGCGTTTCGAGAATTGTGTATCCTGCCTAAACAATAATATCCAATATTTCGGTGGTTTCGTGGGTTCGAGCACGCTTTGCAGAAATTTTGAGCATTTTTAGGTTGCAAGCATGGAGTGTCCATATGAGGCAAGCGCACGGAAGTTTCGAAGAAGCTTCCATTCTTTATGATTAAGCCTGCTCGAGTCAGCGGTACAAGAACCAGCACGCTATTTGCCCTCATTTTCAGCGTACGCCGGTTATGCAGCGAAATCTGACCTATCTCTTACATGCTTTCTCGGACAAGCGGAAATTCAAACTGTACTTTAGATTCTAAAAAAATTTCTTATTTTAGCAAGTATGAGAGCAACTCCGCTGTGTAGACTCGTCGTAAGGATTGGCAACGATATGTAGAAATAATAACAAAAACTTGCGTACTTGAAAGACTTTGCATCATTTTTCAGATTCCTTCTTTGACATTGTTGCAGCCAGTACCAGAGTGCCCGAGGAGGAATAAACCAAGATCATATTTTCCCCATTTTCATGTTAGTCCTCTTAACACCAGCTTATTTTTTAGCTTGAATTTTGACTATGTATTTGAGCCATTCCAAGCTTTGCTTTGCTTTACTACGGGCTAAAAACCACATTTCTTGCTTTTCGCTAATTTACCTGTTTTGTCCTCTCTATATCCCATTTATTCAACGTCAGAGTCTAAAGCTTGACTTTCTACACCTCGACCCATACGCTTTTGGAAATGCCAAATATATTTCGGGAGAATCAACTATTCGTTTGAAAGAAGTTTTTGCGTTTAAGGATAATAGCCCGCAGTAAATCCTCACTTCATCGCCACACGGCTGGATTGGGGAAGCAGAGGGTGTACGCGTATCTGAGAATTTGCTGTTGTGCAGTAAAAGTCGAGTAAATCACTTGCTTTTCAAGTAGGAGGCCCGCTTGAAGATGGCTGGTGATATAGGCTCTTGCTACGTCGAAGGGCGATCTCTGTTGACTGCTACTATTGAAGATATTATGATGATCGCTCTAAAAGCTTTTGCCTAGCACACAGAAAGGCAAAGCCAATTTACAATCTTCAGCGTAAACATTCATGAAAAATCCCATCCTTAGAAGTAAATAGGTAAATTAATTCTGAACCTTCTCATTCAAGCGGAAAACTAAAGCAATCAAACATTCTCTGCAAGAAGAAATTAAAAAAAGTTTTTCCCATTTCGGTGGCTGCGATCACTTCATAAATCCTTTCTTCCGTGGAGCCTCAAAACTTGTGCAGTTTTGCTCGCATTACGTCATACGTCGCGCATTATCATTCTACGCCGTGGCATACGTCATTCTATGTGTCCCATAAACTTAGGAGCAGCTTACGGAATTTTTGTCTGCTACTCAGCTTTTGCACGCTACTTTTGTTAGTTTGACGCACTTTACCTCGAAGTTACGGCAATCAGTAGGACTAACCTGGCACTTGACCGACGGTCGTCTAACTGTTGAAGTTGTCATCTTAAAGACAAGGAAGGTGGGCGGTCATAAATTTGACTTACAAATTCCTTCATGGTGGTCAACTCAATTCAACTGAATGAATGGGGATTTACGCATTGTTTATACACGGTGACGTCACGGTGAACTAATGGGATCCCTCCCCGGGACGCGCAAATCTCTGCTCCGGAAGTGCGCCAGATTTGAAAGAGCCCCGGAGCACCAAAATGGGTGAAATGGCAGGGCTCCGGAGCGCTCCAGATTTGCCCGCCGGAGGTATCCCTTCGACTGTCTGAGGGGTTGGTCAAGCCTGTCGCCAGCGAAAATAATGGAACCTAAATTTTGGTGAGACACTGCGCTAAAATGTGCCACAAGCTGTTTCGTTTTCTGCCGCGTGATCACGGTGGAACATATTGTAGCGTATACCCATAAACTACTTGAATCATGTCCATTTAGTAGCAGAGACAAAAGCAAATCTCATTCTCGTCTTTAACAACCCGACTCACTTTTTGGAGGAGCACTTGTTCTTTTCGTGAAGGATGATAATCCAAAGAAAAGTGACAAAGTTCAATCCAGTCAGGAAGTAGTTGACCACATCGACTCGTAAACGATCTACTGAGAAGGATGAAAACAGGCTGGGCACTGGATTCCATTATATTAAGAAGTACCTCTGCTATTATTCAGGCAAGAGAAGCTAGGTTCATTGACAGTAGTATAATTGACGAGACAAGAGCTAGTAACTGCTGTGGCTATCTAAAACTTCAACCTGCTATTTTATCCAATTTAACTCAAAACTCACTGTAAAAAAACAGTAGGCAATTCCGAAGTTCACACTGCAACGCTCATAGCGAGATGACCACACTGTTGCCATGGTCCTCTCAATACAGATTCCAAGTTGAAGAAGAGCGATGCATATGGCGTAATAATGGATTGTGAGCCTCACAAAAAGGCAGAACAAACCCGGCTGATAAACATCACAATCCGATTTGATAGTGAAGATTTTGAGAATGTGGTGCACCTAAATCTCTCTCTTAGTAAATGCACACTTTTGTCTCCACAGTCACACAACTTTGTGAGAGGCTCTTCCGATATGGCCTACTCCACCTACAGCTGATATGCAGTTGTACTGACCACAATTGGACTCTTTGGATTACAGGCAAGGTGTAAATGAAAGATACTACCTCTTGCACCAGTTTGCGAATTACTGATCTTTCGCATACAAAAGGTACCGTATAGCATAGAGGAACCGCTTTTCCACGAACTCAGCCTCATGACCATGCTCCTCTGTCGGAGGAGCGTACATAAAGTTGAAGAAATGCAGATAGTCCTCGCTGAGAATCGAGGCGCAGACCGAATCGACTAGCTTCATTTTAGGTTCTAGCTGGTTGCAATCTAGACGGGGCCACATTCTTTGTAAATCTTTCGGGATACCATCTCAAAGCTCTATGAGAGGTGAGTGATAGCCATTCCCCGCAAATACTGCATCGCCTGGTCTAAGTTGACTCTATATTTTAGGCATATTGAGAGAGAAGTTGTTCAAAGCAGCCATATTAAAGCTAACGATAAAGTCCAATGCCTTCAGGAACACTACCAACACAGATAATGACTTAGTAACTTTATAAACGCGATACGCATGCAGTGTCTCTTTTGGTAATAAGTGATAGAGGTAAACGAGTTTACGGTCGGATGCTCCTCATATGCTCCAGAGAATGCGAATTTACCCAAGCACAGAACGTGTAAGCTGCTGCATGACGAAGGCGCAATATCTTTGGCACGAACGCGGCTTTAATAACCGAGGAGCGCATGAGAGCTGAATCCACAACGGTGAAGATACGCGCGCCTATGTTTGCGCCGCTCACCTAATACTGCTTCCGCGCTTTCGTCAAGCAGTAGCATTTGATACAGGATACATGCGTGAAAGGAGTTGCCAACTTTTGGTTACACTTCGGTCTAAGGCTTCTGAAAAGTCTCCCCTGAATTTTGGAAGTTTTACGAAGTCCCCTTTGATCTACCTCCTTAGGAGAAGGTGAAAACAAGAAAGATTTTCTAGTTTGAAAGAAAAGACGTAAGATAAAAGTGAAAATCCAAATTGAAGCTGAATGCTACGCATGCATAAGACTTTGGCATTAGAGCGCGATAATTAACAAAGCGAGAAGAGGTGAAGGCAAAAAACAAAGGAAAGGCAATGATATGAAATTGTCTTCATGCTCAGGCATAGATTTTTGACCGGGCCCATGCTAAAAAGATCCGAAACTTATGTGAAGTGACGAGAATGTATGCTCCAGACGATCTCAGATCGTCTGGTGGCCGTCCGGAGACGATCTAACTTTGGAAAAGGTATTACTTCACATAAGTTTCCACTTATTGCATAATACTTTCGCAAATAATTTTCTATACATACAGTTCAAATTTGGTGTCATATGCTTCTGTGTGCGCTGTAAACGAGCAATTCGTTTATTTTAGCCTTGCTTTCAAATCGCGCATACTTTCGCCATGCACGATAGAGCATGTGAATCGTGTGATAACCTGTCCGAAAAGCTTGTGTTCGACTAAATGGCGCTTATTCTTGGTGCTCGGTTTCGACTCGTCAAAAACGACATCCCCTTTGCTGTTTGCTTCGAAAGAAGTCCAGTCTGCTTTCAGACGATTTGCGCCAGGCCCTGCACAGGTGCCGCTCGATCTTGAATGACTGAATACTCAAGTTTCCTTTTCCTTTGCCTCTACCGCCCCTTCAAAAGCTCGATGCATAATTGTGACTGCGTCAATGGCTTCAGTCGCTTTGATTAGAAAAACAAGGTGTCGCACAAATCACTTCTCACTTGACTCTAATGGGACAAAGAACAGAAAACCTCAAACGCCAACCTTTATGGGCTACCATGTATTCAGATGGTGTTGAAAGTAGCTTTAAGGATGGTGACGAAGATAAAAATGTGAAAAGCTGGTTCAGCAATGCTTCAAGGCAACTCCTGAAAGGCGAATGCTCCGGAAATCCAAACACTTGGAACTATCCAGATCGCAAGCACGTTGATTAAGAAGACGGCGTCGGACATCTGGCAAATTGCATCTCCTCAGATGGCACGCTACAAGACGAGATGTACGTCCTAGACTAGACTTGGTCAAAATCAAGGAACGTTAAGGGCATAGTAGTTCTACTGACTGCCGCCATATGGCAGCGAACACTGGCGTTGCACGCACAGTGAGGACGAAAGCTCCATTAAAGATAAGATTGCTTTCGTAGACGATAGGCAACACCACTGTGGACCGCGTCACTAACTGCGAGCTACGATGAGCATTGCTCTAGTTGTGAAGGGGAAGAAGATCACATCAACAGATCGACCATGTCATTAGATGTGCCTGGGAAAAAAGTAATCGACTAGCTTCAGAAGTTAGCTGAGAATTGTGGATAGCTTGTGAGCGATACTCCAAGATTGTTACAATTTCTTTATTGACGGCTAAGTTTCGGCGCTTTCGCCCTCTTCAGAGCCTGTAAGCCGAAATCATATGAACTTACTCGCCCAGACGTCAACAAAAAGACCAAAGTATCATCCGAAAACAAGGTCAATGACAACAAAATCATATTCACAAGCAAAGTACTCACCTTAGATAGCACAAGACGGAATTCCGAGGACCACCTATACACAAGACCTACCTCAGCTCTTTTATACGTGCTTTGATGACCCGGCCTCAATTCAAATCCGCATTAGGATTGGTAAGGCGCGAGCTCCCTCTTTATGGCGGTACACTCCTCCTTCCGGTTCATTTTTGGATTTTTGGCGCTAATCCAAAACGCTTCTAGAGTTTTGCGCGTGAGGATCTCGGGTTCCAACGACAAGATCTTTACAGTAACTTGTATAGGAGCCTTAGCTGAGAGTGTTCGGACCATAGGTGCGATAGGGGGAGCCGGGCTCTCCCCAGGTGAAGGGGGTCTCGGCTGTTTCCGACCTTCCAGGGTGAAGGGGGTATGTGAGTCTGGGGGGGGGGGGGAGGAAGAGAGAAAAGGTAAAAAAGCGTGGTATGAAGAGCTCTAATTTGTATCTTATTTAGGCACAAATTGAAAAAAAAATTAAAATTTTTCAAAAAAAATTAAAAAATTTAAAAAAATTGGTTATGAAGATCTGTGCTCCTGTTTCATGCATCAACAAAAAACGAAAGCAATAATGTTTATCCCAAAAGATGTACAAGTTAGGAACAACTTCATTTCCTGCACATCATCATCAACAATATCACTATCGCTAACGTCAGAGACAACAAGTTCGCTGCCTGAAAAATCTTCTTCTTCCTCCAAAAGGTCATCGGAGTAGAAGTAGAATTGCGTGCAAAAGCGTTCTGAGTCGAAAATGGATTTGAAACTTTCTTCTTCTTTTAAGCGCTTTTGTGATTTTTTTCGTGGCCCTCTGGTAGCACCAGGAAGTCAGCAGGTAGGTGATCGGTTTCTTCATACCTTCTTTTAGGATATTTCAAAAAGTCATACGGTAACAGCCTGTCTGGACCACTTATATCAATCCTTTAAATGAAGTTTTTAGATAACAATGTGTTTAGTAGAGGTTGACAAATCTTAAGTATTTGCTTAGATGCTCTATCGTTGTACGACTTCTGCGTTGTGTTCTGATGACAGAGTAGATAGAAAATTTCTTTCTCTACCTCTGCCCTCTGCCGTGCTAGTCGGAATGGAAACTAGCTTTGCTAGTAGGTCCATCAGATTTTTGCGGTAAGTAATGGGAAAAGAGCCAGATCTCATATGCTTTCGCAACGCGGGAAGGAAATAGTGTACTTTTTGGGCCTTGTCGAACTCTGGATTCACCTCCTCTGACATACGTCCTGTTAGCTGATTAGAAAGCTGCTCAACTTCTTCTTTAATAGCATCTGCGGAATAGCCGAAAAAAGGAGGTACCATGCTGCGCGTTGGTTTTTTTTTTCAATATCATAGGTCATATTGTCACAAGGTGAATAACTTTCAAAAGCATAAAGCACAGAGTTGGGTTCGCACTCCAGCCGGGATCTAAGCGCAGTAACTATGCTTTGTACTAACACCTTCCTTTTGTTCATATCCATGTTTGTGAATTTAGCAGCCTTGAATTCTTCAGCAACCTGAAGATCAGCAATGGACTTCCTGGACATTTCCTTATTGAAACTAGACAATCTGCTTGGATTCCTTATGCAGGAAATCAGAGAGTTTCGCTCAATTGCAAACTCTGTATCAATGTCGACAACATTTTCGTCGGCGTAAGATTCTCCTTCTGCCTCGCTGTTGAACTGGAACACGTGCGAGTCATCTGCGATTTTGTAAAGTATTCTGCCTGCCGTTTCCTCTTCAAACTGCCAACCTTTCCAAAACATTGAGGAATATTTTAATAACATGTTATTCTTCTGAATGTCTTAGAGTTTTTAATTCATTGAAACCAACCATTCTCTACAAATTAGATAAGGTGAGTCTAGAGCGTTTTCACGAAAGTGACCTTCTTCAGCACTAGGTTTACAGAGTATAGATTCCAGAAATGGGCGGGTTTTGTGTGAAGGTGTGGAAATTCACCAATCTCCCATAGTTTTTTGAGTGTGTGCTAACAATGATGGCATAACTGTCAATCAAAAGCGCATTTTTTACCAAAAAAAAAACATAAACATATAACAACGATAAGCACGCTCAAATAGACGCGTTCGCTCACGTTCCCGTTAGTGCTGATAACGATGTCAATCCACAGCACATTTTTTACTATTAACTTGCTCCACCTCGCTCTTATTAGGTCGTCCAGAAAGTTTTTGCACACGAATTTCAAAATTCATAACTTCTGATTTTTCCAACCGATTTGACTGCTTTCACTTTTATGTGAACGGTAAGCCATGCTCTTTATAATGACATCTCAGCTGCTTAGTAATGGTCATCTGTTGCATAGATAGGAGCGATAGAAGAAAAATGGTAAAAATTTTAATTTTCTGTGTAGGGTTATAAAAAATCGGAGACTTGCAACAAAAATCGGAGCAGTCAGTACTGTAGGTTCTTTCATCAGCTCTTTCTAACAGTGCAAAGTTTGCGCCGAGCGTCTCCATGAAAAGTTATGATTTCCCTGAAGAATGCCAAAATAAATCAAATTCGCCTTTTTGTACTGCTTGCTCGGAAATTATAACTTTTCCTGGAGACGCTCAATCGTAGCAAACTTTGCACTGTTAGAAAGAGTTGGTGAAAGAACCTAAAATACCGACTGCTCCGATTTTGTTGCAAGTTTCTGATTTTTTATGACCCTACACAAAAATTCAAATTTTGAGTGATTTTGTTTTGAGCTTCTATCTATGCAAGAGATGACCATTACCAAGCAGATAAGATGTCATTAAAGAGCATGACTTACCCTTTCACATAAAAGTGAAAGCAGTCAAATCGGCTGGAAAAATCAGAAGTTATGAATTTTTGAAAATTGTGCTCAAAAACTTTCGGGACGACCTATACAATGTGTTGGCTTTTATGGGTTACCGGAGAAAATGATTTTTAGAGCCGGGAAGCAAAGAAGCCCTAACATGCTGTATACCATTCGAAAGCTGAGATCATGGAGAATCGACGTAGACCGTCGACTTTTATCTAGGTCTTCTGTGCCGCGAGATATGAGGGATTTTATGTGCTTCAAAAATTAACTGATTTTGTGTCCTCACTTTCTGCTCTCCAAATGAATGCTACGAGAAAGTCGACGGTCTACGTTTGTTAATGAAGACTTGCTCTTTAACACAGATAGATAAGCAGCAGTGATTAGGTCTTCATTCGGCAGAAATCTGCTGTTGAAAATGACCATGTTTTCAGATAAAATGCTGAGTATCTCTCGATAGAGGGGGGCTAGAAAGAAGTCGACGGTCTAGGTCGAATCCCCTTTTCCTGAGCTTTCGAATGGTATATAGGTTGCTGGGCGAAAAAACGGACCAGTTTTCAAAAATGGGGTGGAGATATTTACTATTAGCTTGCTCCAATCCGGCTCCACCAATGTATTGGCTTTTATCGGTTACCGGAGAAAATGATTTTTAGAGCCGGGAAGCAAAGAAGCCCTAACATGCTGTATACCATTCGAAAGCTGAGATCATGGAGAATCGACGTAGACCGTCGACTTTTTTCTAGGTCTTCTGTGCCGCGAGATATGAGGGATTTTATGTGCTTCAAAAATTAACTGATTTTGTGTCCTCACTTTCTGCTCTCCAAATGAATGCTACGAGAAAGTCGACGGTCTACGTTTGTTAATGAAGACTTGCTCTTTAACACAGATAGATAAGCAGCAGTGATTAGGTCTTCATTCGGCAGAAATCTGCTGTTGAAAATGACCATGTTTTCAGATAAAATGCTGAGTATCTCTCGATAGAGGGGGGCTAGAAAGAAGTCGACGGTCTAGGTCGAATCCCCTTTTCCTGAGCTTTCGAATGGTATATAGGTTGCTGGGCGAAAAAACGGACCAGTTTTCAAAAATGGGGTGGAGATATTTACTATTAGCTTGCTCCAATCCGGCTCCACCAATGTATTGGCTTTTATCGGTTACCGGAGAAAATGATTTTTAGAGCCGGGAAGCAAAGAAGCCCTAACATGCTGTATACCATTCGAAAGCTGAGATCATGGAGAATCGACGTAGACCGTCGACTTTTTTCTAGGTCTTCTGTGCCGCGAGATATGAGGGATTTTATGTGCTTCAAAAATTAACTGATTTTGTGTCCTCACTTTCTGCTCTCCAAAATGCTACGAGGATAAATAAATAATATAAATAAACATAAATACCGTTTCTTTAGTAAATTTATGAGTGTACTTGTTGTTTGAGGTACTTAGCCTGCTTTTCATAACGATTTTTATCATATTCTCAGAGTACGATACCAATCTCAGCCCAGGTGAAGGGGGTCATCGGGAGTTTGGCCTCAAAGTGAAGGGGGTAAGATCCATCACTCCCCCTATCGCAACTATGGTTCGGACGAACAGCAAATCAGATCGTGAACGTGAAACAGACCTACGAGGAATGGTCTCAATTGTTAGATCCAACGTTTTCGGAAATAAATCATGATTTACTAGTGCATTAAAGTACTGGAACACTTCCAGAATAAATGCGGTCTTCGTTAAGTAAGGAAGTAGCTCTTGGCCGTATTTTTGGCTCCAATTTAAAAACTATCTGAGCATAATCGTTTTTATAACAGATCGGTGCCGAAGTATGAAAGCTGCAAAGCAGACTCGATCGCTTCGAGCGATTAGCAAGTAGATGAGGAGCAGTATAAAAATTTTGATGCATTCCTTCTCGCTCTTTTGGAGGTCCGTGCATGCAAATTCGGCAGATGAGGCTTGTTGACTGCATGCAATGTAGCCCCATATTTGATCCCATTTGGAAAAGATATTGATTGAGATACGAACCTCTTGAAAGCTAGAACCTTCTTTTAGAATAAAAGTTTTATTTTCATTTGCAAGGCAATGGAAAATGCTTGCATGTTTTTTAGACGTCAGGATTGGTAGCAATGTGCCGCTTGGACAGTAGACAATGGTGAACGAATGATCGTTACTTGCTGCCTGATTTTGATCAAAAACCAAGAAGCTATGGACAAAAACATTTAGAGTGGCCATTTTTTTCAATTACTTTGTAATTTCATGACATGGAGGTTTGGAAGGAAATTATTGATGCGGAGCAGGCATGATGAGTGCTGGATGAAATGCGAACGAGAACCATTGGATAAAATTGTGATCCATTTGTTCAGCTCTATGAGTGTGATTTGATTTGATACTTACCTCAAAAATAATAAATACTCCAGCGTGGAGTACGATAGAGAAGAATAGGAGTAGGTATATTGCCTGAAAACAGAAAAGCGTACTTCTCAAACCACATCATGAGTTGCACCTGGTGATTGAGTAGACTTTCGAAAACTATACTTTCACTTACAATAGCTTACCTTGATATTTTTATGGACCGGAAACGTCCATAGTCCTTTACGAATTGCAATAACAAATACGATTGTTGCAGCGCTGACGAAGATATGAATACATTGACTGACTATGTAGTATGGATTTGTAATTAATTGTAAACCAGTTTTACAATCATATGTCATCTAAACAATTAGTTATATATTACATGGAACCAACTAAGCGTTGAAACTAAACTTTCGGTTAGTATAACTTTGTTTTTTGAAAAACTGCATTAAATTTAGAATCAGAAAATCTGTTTGAATTTTAGGAAATCGGATTCTCTCAGAGTGATGCACCAACGTAAGAACGAGGTAGAAGAAACGAAGTTCGATAAATATGGATGAAAAGAAGATGTGAGTGACAAAATGATACTGTCAGATTGTTCGTAAAATAATGTCGCATAACATCCTACCGCAGCAGGGTACACACGAAAGAAAGTGATTAGTATACTGTTTAACAGAGCAAAGCAAGCTTTACGGTGGTACAAATAACGGCGCAAACGTTCCTTATGTTTGGAACCAGAATTCAAAAATTTTAAACACCCAAGGTCGTTTCACTGCCTATAAAATACTTAAGGATCTCCAAATTACACGGGTATGTAACCTCCACATTGGACGCTCATGCATACAGTTGTGAAGTTTTTCTGTGGTTAAAATACGAGAGAAAGATAGATTACAAAAAAGGTCAGTGCTGATATGTTGTGGGTTTTTCCGTTTTTTTGAATTTTGATATTTCTCGAGAACTAGCCTTTGTAGAAAACTGAAAATTCATCATACTTGCAAGGGTTTATACCTAGAAATACCTAACTGGAGAAGCTTAGGATTGCTTAGGCAAAAACATGCCAAACTTCGCTTTCTCGATTTTCAGCCATGGAAAATTCACGAATGCATACAGGTGTGTAATGTAGAGAGTTCTCGCGTGAGCAATGAATAAAAGCAGCTTTAAGCTTCACGGATGGTACAAACAACGGCGCAAATTTTCCTTATGATTAAAACTAAAGTTCAAAAATCTTCGACACCCAAACTCGTCTCTCCGTTCCCTGTATTTTTTAAGACGAAGATAGAATTTTTTTTCGATTTTCGAGCATTGAAGCCCTTTGAAATTTGACTTTGAACTACATTCAAATTGAGCTTGTTGGTGAGCTTCATTTTGTAGAGGCTTGCTTTGCTCTATCAAACGTTGCCCTTCAGCATTTATTCGTGCTAAATATGTTGCGATATTGCGTGAAACGGCCTAACAACTAACAGTAAGTAAATGAAATTAATTAATAACAAAGAGTAATATTAGGGAACAGCTGGCAAGCCCGACTCCGCCCGGTCTGTCAATAATGTAATCGTTATCAACATGATCACATATCCCCTGTGCCGAGGCGTAACGAAGGGGAGGAGGGGGAAGGCCCCCCCCCGAGAATGGGTCGAGAAATTTTTGAAAATTACATAAATGTGTTATAAAAATGAAGCGACTTATTTTTACTTGAAACTAATTGAAATAATTTTTGAGAAATTTTAAAAATCCAAATTAGCCTTGTAAAAAAATTTTTTGGTGGCTGCAGCCACGCCCGCTTCTTCTGAAATTTTGGGGTCAGGGGCACGCAAAAGTTTTGGGAAGCATCCGAAAAAATTTTTGTTCCCCCTCCCCCCGAGCGGAAATCCTAGGTACGACGCTGCCCTGTGCTGTGCCAACTTTAGGCCCCGTAGCTCAAATTCTTCAAAAAATCGATAAAGTCGATATCGATTGGTAACAAAGAGTAACCTACGACACACTCTTCTCCCGGAACTGTATGTGTGCAAAGTTTTGTTCGAATCGGTTCAGAAATAAAATATTCTATTTGAACATACGTACAGACACACACATACACACAGACAAAAGTTCAGCTTTGTATATAAGGTTCGATGATAAAGAAAGTTTGAATTTCAAGGAGCTCTGCAAATGAAAAGTTTGAAAATGGCAAAAGTGATTGAGTTCTCAAAGCACAGTGAAGAATTTAAATTCGTTGACTGAGTATTTGGCATTTTAGTTGATAAAAAATCAAAATCATTTGGTGCAAATTTGGGTCTTTGGCTAACGTTTTGGTATATATAAGGCTACCATTAAACTTTATAAGCATTTATATATTATGCATATTCCAAGATTAAGAGAAAGAAGAAAGTTTTAGTGCCCTATAACCTATCGGGCTAATGCTGCCGAATACCCTATAAATATGGTATGGGAATAACTCAGTATGTGTTTTCACAGGCGAGTGAAAGTGTGCCTATACGTTCATCGTTAAAGAAAGTTTTCGCAAGAAAATATGTTGTCATCACATTATGAAATTTTACAGAAGACATAGGATGTGCAGACAACAAATCAATATCCTGTTTTGCTCGACAATTATGCAGATATTAGTCTGAGGTGGATTTTTTTTGCAAAATTGTATTAGAACACTCTGAAGGAAGAATTCGCTGAAGACAACTGTACTAACCATCATCGATTTAGACTAAAACATGCAAATTCACAAAAAAAATTGGTTCTTTGTTTCCTTGGATGTGTGGAGTGCACTGAACGAGTACCTGCTTTGCAAAATAATTGAAACTGTTAGAAAGCAATAAATCTTACTGTAGGAGAGACGATTAGCGCAAATAAGCCTAAAGGCTAATTTTTTGAGCAAGTGTAAGACCAATGTCAAAGAGCTTTTTGTGAGCGCAGATAAACTGTCACGATTGTTATACACTTGAGGAAATTCGAGATTTTTCTTCGACTATTCGAATATCGACTAATGTTGGAGAACCTAAATTTTTGATCATTCGACTATCGAATATTATTGGAGAATACTTTCGAATATTCAACTTTTGAATGATATCCGAACATCTAATATCATTCGTTATTTGAATATCGAATACCATTTAATTTCTGAATACTATTCGAATAATCAATGTTATGAGGTATTTGCTGTGAGAGACCAAAGCATCTAACAGTCAGTTGTTTCGTGAAAGTATTGAGAATAGACATTTTTTAATGTTACAATTTGCGATGAAAAAACGGCTTAGTGGTGGCGTCAAGAGACTTGAAAACTCAAAAGCGTACTTCTATGACGGCTGTGAAGAGATTTTTCGAACTTCGAATAAAATTATACACCCTTCATTGAGATTTGTGGATTGATATAGAGGCTCCCAAAAGCATGTAGGTCCGTGGGTTGACATGAACTTAGCCTTAGAGTGTGGAGCGACTTATCAGTCTCTCTTCACTACTGTAATGTCAACGTAGAAATTTTGAAGAGGGTTTTGATACTCAAGAGCCGTATTTTGCTCAAGAAATGGAACCAAAAAGGCCGAAAATTTCACATTATACTCCTAGCGGTCACTATATATGAAGTTTGCGCTCAACCCTAATGCTCTATCCACAATTATGCACGTATATCGCAAGGAATGTTTTTCAACGCTGTTCAAAAACTTGATTGCACATTTGGAAAGCGTTAGGCGAGACTTAACTATTCATAAGTTGAGTGATAAAGATCAAACTCCGATACTTAAATGAAGTTTTGAGAAGATAACTGCTATTCAGGTTGTAAAGTGATCGGAATCTGCTTTAGAGATTAATTTGGAGAAAAGATTCTTCGAAAAAGATTTTTTGCTCCTTTTTGACATAAGAAAGAACGAATGATGTTTATGAAGCAGAAAAACCAAGAGTTTTGCACTGCATGCAAGTCACAACCAATTGAATCAGTTTTGTGTTTTGTAAGAGGGGTTCATCTTTGGTATAGCCGAAGCACAGACGATAGTATAATCAAATCAAACTCGTTGTCCAATAAAAGGAAAATTTCGGCTTTCTAATAGTCAAAAGGAAATCTTTATGGTTTCAGAGATTAGATATGAAACAATTAGTGATTACCCAATTACTTCAGATGTAAGATGGTCATTTATGAAAAAATGGACTTGCATCGAAATTTGATAGAGAATAGATATTAAGCTTCAGCAAAAGTGTAATCCTTTGTATCAAATGCCTTGTCAACGCATTTTTGCATTTTAAATATCTTATAGGAATGCAAAAAGTGGAGTAGCTGATGAACAGAAAAAGCAAAAGGAAATAAAACAGGAAGTTGAAGGCATCGGACAGATTCCCTATTTGCATCTTAAAACAGAATTTATAAATTTTCTGAAACGAATACGTTTGAACAGCAGCGTGTTTCCTTTTGCAACATAATCGTACGTTGTTGAGAGAAAATCAAAAGCACTTAAAAAGCCGAGAATAAGCCTCTTCAATTTGCTATCAACGTCTGCACAACCACTGACCTGAAATCATAGTGACTGTGCATGAAATTGGTATTAGCAAGTAATTACAGTTGATCAGCGGCTGCAGAAACGAGCCAAAGGACAAGAGAATTACCCATTCTGCTTTTGCAGACTTTAGGGCAATATCAGAGGTGATTTAGACGCATTCGAGTAAATTTAGTCTTTGCGCAGTTCTGATCGCAACTTTACGCTCCTTTCTAAAAGCAACACTTGCTACAGCTAACTTTGGTAGATCTTCACTCAACACTTTGAAAGCATAACCTACTTATTGAACAATTTAATGACTGCCCACGCACTTACATGTAGGAAGAAACCTCTGAAACTATTTTATTATGGTCAAGTTATCTCAAAAACTACCAGCATGGGAAACCACTGTGACTCGACAGCATCAGTAACGTTGCTTCTGCATGTCTTACTATAATGCTTTACAACTCTACTTACTCCCGAATGTAGAAAAAACACTAGAAACATTAAATAGAACCAAAGTGTTTGATTTGTACAATCCAGAAAAGATAGAAAACGATGTTATTGACAAGAACGCTCTCGGAATATTAAAACTCATTTTGTCATAGCTCCAATAAATAAGGCATCAAACACAGTTTTATATGTAAAAAATTTCACTTTCAATGATGAGAAAAGAAATGGAACAGTCAGCTATGGACGGCTCTTTACAGATAAGAACTACTCTGCTAGAAAATTAAGCTCATGATGAACAAGTAGAATATTGAATTCTGGATCTCAACTACGTAGAAAAGCAAAATGTTATACCTAGAATTTATGTGGTAGTATTCCAAAAATACACAAGACACCACCAGACTCTGGTATATTACCGAAGCCAAGAGATCTACGCCTAAGCCTCTTTACAAAATACTGCA